CTTAGCCATTGAGCCACATCCCCAGCCCGTTTTATTTTTTGAGACAGGGTCTTGCTAAGTTGCTGAGGTTGGCCCCGAACTTGCGATCCCCCTGCCTCAGTCTCCCAAGACCCTGGGATTACAGGGCACGCACCACAGCTCCCGGCTGAAATTAGCTCTCTAGATGAATGAACAAAGAGGAAACTCAGCAGGGAAGTAGGAACGATAGAAGTGGACAGACTGTGAATGTTAAAACCCTAAAAGGCAATCTCTGAGACTGACAATTCACTGTGTGAGTCTGATGGCATATTGGTGATGGGAGAAGAAAGACAAGACAAATTCCAAGACCAATTAATAGCAAATATCCACCCTGAAGAACAGAGGGACATAAGACTCAAGGAAAATGTGCATCTGGAAGCGGACAGCGGTGACAGCGGTGACAACAGTGACAGTGCTCAATACTGTGAGTGTCCTGAGGGCACACCTTGCGTGGGCAAGGCGGCCAGCTGTGTGTCACTCGGGTTCAACCATGGCTTTCAGAGCCTCGGCAACCTGACGGACCACAGCAAAGGTCCAACGTGTATGAAACCGGAGGATGGAAGGATAAAGGAGAGGGCGGGGCCCAAGAGCATTTTAAGAGACAAAAACACAGAAGACTTTCTAATTTTGTCCACGGCCCCAGACGCGCTCGTGAACACAGCAAGCAGGGCTGTGAGGGGCACCCCACGGAGGGGGGGCCCGAGGGGCCGCTGCCCCAGGAGGCCCACGGGGTTTTCACAGGTTTTTATAAAGGGAGTGTGGCTGAGGATGGCTTCTAAAAACTCTTTTTCATGTGATAAAATCCACATAACAGACTTGGCCATCACCCATCTGAGGGCTTCGGGCGCATTCCCGTGTTTGCAGCCGTCCCTACCACCCCCGCCAGAGCTTCCTCATCTTCCCAAGTTGACTCTGTCCCCATTCAACACACCCACCCCCCGCCCAGCCCTGGTTCCCACCACCTCTATGAACTGTTGGCTCCAGGGACCTCTATGAGTGGAGCCACACAGGATTTGCCCTTTGTGACTGGTTTACTTAACTCAACAGCATGTCCCAGGTTCATCTATATTGGAGTGTCAGAATTTCCTCCCTTTTAGGGCTGAATAGCATTCCAAGTATGTGAGTCTCTGTGTGTGTGTGCATGTGTGTGTGTGTGTACATGCACAATCAAAGAGGGACTTTTCTTGGGGGGGGGGGGTACTGGGGATTGAACTCAGGGGCACTTGGCCACTGAGCCACATCCCAGCCCTATTTTGTATTTCACTTAGAGACAGGGTCTCACTGAGTTGCTTAGCTCCCCATTGCTGAGACTGTCTTTGAACTCACCATCCTCCTGTCTCAGCCTCCCGAGCTGCTGGGATCACAATCACCACACTCAGCTCAAAGGGGGACTTTTTAAATAGCAAATCACGTTAGTGCGAGAGAGACGAAAAGGCACGATGGCTGGCAGAAGACACAGGGGCTCCGCAGGGGCGTTTTGGGTGGGGAGTGAACTCCCAGGCCCAGCTCACCACTTAGAAACCGATTCCCAGCCCAGGTCGGCCCCCCAAGGGTGGGGGAACGGTGGTGCCAGGCTGTGCTCTGCTGGGGCCTCCATTCACTCAACCTGGCCGACCAGTGGCCCCTACCTTTCCCATCTGCTGGTGCCATCCCCCTGGTGACCACGTTCCAGGAGGTACATTCAGGTAGGGCAAAGCCAGACTGTTTTCCAGGAAAGTGGACCTTGCCCACACCCACATCAGGACTGCCCGAGGCACCACTGGTCAGCAGCCCAGCACCATGGCGGCCTTTTCCAGGGGCCAGGACTGCCTCCCTAGGTTGGAAATGTCAGCCACGGTTTAGAAAGATGCCATTACCGTCCTGCTTCACAGATGAACCTACTGAATCTCAGAGACGCTGAATGCTTTACCCAGAGTCACACAGCTGGTCTGTGCCAGGCTGGAGTTCGCTTCTGTGGATGCCACTGGGCATTCTAGGACACGGACTCAGAGAAACTTGGTGCTCTGTTGGAGAGTGGGACTGTGCCTCGTGTTTCTAAACTGACCTTAACTACTGTGGCCTCTCCTGGTCCAGGACACTTCTTCCCACTATAGCCACCCCCAGTGGCCAACTCCCTATCCAGGTATTTGTGCCCCCTAATGGGGTTTGTGTCCAAGAACTGGACCTCCCTGTTCACTGCTTCTCTGCTGTTCTGTCTCCAATTCAGGTTGCTTTCCTCCCCGCTGGCCCTAAGTCATGCGGGCGCTGGACCTCCTCTTACCCTCCCCTCGCTGAGAACTCTCACCCCCGGAAGCCATGACCAGCATCTCCATCCTCTGGGTTCTTTCCCCAGGACCAAACCTGCGAATCCAGCACCAGCTGGCTGTTCTGGGCCGGACACACCACGCTAAAGCCATCCTCCACCAAACCCGTTTTCTTTTCCACCTGTGGCTTCTTGGCCGAGAACCTATCCCCGCCATCTTTGAGGACAGGAATCTGAGTCGTTCCACACGCCTCCTGGCACCTTCTTGACGCTCTGCCTCTCCCTGGGTCCTGAGATGGGTCCATCTCCCTCCTCTGCCCAGTTCCCACAACTGAGTCATTGTGGCAGCCTCAGCCCTGGCCTCTCTGCCTCCAGTCTTGCCCCAGCCACCGCCCCTCCCACCGGCATCCAGGTGGTCCTTCTAACCTGCAAATCGGGCCCTGTGCCACTGTGCCCAGCTTGTTGTGGGTGTGTGTACACAGGGTTTTTTCCTTCCCTTGGTGCTGGTGACGGAAACCAGGCACTGAATCCTGAGAGTTCTCCCATGGGCCTGGTACCGTGCATCCCAGGCCAGCTCCGGGCCTCGGCCCAGCTGCAGCCCTACCAGGAATGCCATCGCCTCTGCCTGGCCAGCTCCGGGTCTGCGCCATCCTGCTCCCTGGACACTTCCTCCAGAAGGCCTTGCCAGTTACCCCTGGGCTGGGCTAGGAGCCTCTGTTACGGTTTGGATATGAAGTGTCCCCCGAAGGCCATGATTAGATCACGGGAGCTGTGCGCTAACTGGTGGATTAATCCACTGGATAGATGAACAGTCTGAAAGGGCTACTGTGCTGGTGGTAACGAGGTCAACAGGATGTGGCTGGAGGAAGGGGTCACTGGGGAAGTGCCTTTGGGGTTTATGTTCTGTCCCTGGCACCCCGGATGCTCTCTCCGCTTCCCACCTCCCTGATGGGAGTGGCTCTCCTCTGTGGCTCCAGGCCACCACGATGCCCCCGCCTCACCTCAGGCCAGAGCTTCGGAGCCGGCCAGCCGTGAGCTGAGACCTCGGAAACTGTGAGCCCAAAATAGATCTTTCCTCCTCTACATTGTTCTTGTCATGTATTTTGGTCTCAGTGATGCAAAACGAAGACACCCTCCTACCCCATCTTTCTTAGCAATTGTAGGGCAACTGTCTGCCTTCCCCAGTGTCCTGACCTGACCTCTCCATTTTTCCAGCACCCAGCACATAATGGGGGGCAGGAAGCTGTAGAATGGATGAATGGAAGGTGGAACTGAGGCCCAGGCACCAGGACCCAGAAAACAGTTTTGCCTCAATTTTGAGCCTTCCCACTCCCCTCTCCCCCCCTCCATCTCCCCCCCTCCCTCTCCCACCTGCTCTAACAGGTACCCACTGTCTCCTTCAAAGGGCTCTCATTTTTCCCCTTAAGTGACTAGGACGAGCCGGGTGCAGTGGCTTGGCCTGTAGCCCAGTCCTTGGGAGGCTGAGGTGGGAGACTCCTGGGAGTTTGAGACCAGCCCGGGCAACACAGCAAGACGCAACAGCAAAAATAAAGTAGAAATTTTTAAAAAGGAAGAAGTATATATAACAACATTTTGGTCACTGATGGACAGAATTTATGATGAGATTATCATGCAGCCAAAAAGTTCCTATTGCTGAGTGACACCTTAGGCATGGGAACACCGAAGTGCGTGCATTCGTGGCAAGCTGGTGTAAACACGCCGTGGCGCTGCCAGCCTTCCACAAGGGTGGCGGGACACGCTATGCACGGTGCATAATGCTGAGCATCACGACGGTCTGATCCTAAGTGCCCATGTTCTTAAAGGCTTGGTGCTGACCAGAGGAGGTGGACTCTCTAAGAGGTAGGACCTGGTGGGAGATCTTGGGGTCACTGGGGGCATGCCCTTGAGGGGACAGTGGAACCTGGTTCCTTCCCCTTGCTCTGTTTTTGCTTCACCATCACGAGGTCAATGGCTTGGCTCTGGCCACTCACCCCTGCCCCAGGCCAAAGAGTAATGGTCCACCTGGAACCTCCAAAACTGTGAGCCAAACCCACCTTTTCTCTGCACCAACTGAATACATCAGGGTTTTTTTATAGTAACAGAAAATTAACACAGTAATAATAACAAATAACTATGTTACTGGTTTGTGTGTATGTAATTTTTTTTTTTTTTGTGAGATGGGTCCTGAAATGTTACCCAGGCTGGCCTCTAACTCCTGAGCTCAAGCGATCCTCCTACCTCAGACTCCCCGGCACGGGCCACCATGCCCAACTTGGGGGTGAGTGCACATTTCTTTTGAAATTGGTGCTGGGGGTTGAAACCAGGGCCTCGGGCATGCTAGGCAAGCTCTCTGTCACGGAGCTGCCCCCCGAGCCCTTGCTACCATCTCCTTTTTATTGTTATTTTGAAGCATATTCCTTCCACTCACAGAGGAAAGTTTCTTGACACCATTGTCACCTTACGCCACAGCAGCCTCTGTGTCTCCTGCTCCCCGAGCCTCTCGGTTGCATGGAGGCCACGTCGGGGACTGGCCTCCACCATCTGGGTTTGTGAAAATGCTCCCCGACAGTCACACAGTGACGAAGCGGCCTAAGGATGCATTTCTCAGGACCGTCCTGGTTGGCAAGTGGCGCGTGACTGTACATTTATTTCCAGAAGAAATTTCCCTCCTCCCTCAACAAGCCGGTGCCCACACCAGGAGCAGAGTGGCCATAAAAACTAGCACAACGAAAACAAAACAAAGTTTGGTGCCGGCCAGTCCCTGAGGCCTGCGGGTTCCAGGGGAGGTGGGCAGGCGTCTGTTGCTGTGGTTTCTTAAAGACACAGCAGCAGCCTCGGGAGCCTGGGTCTCTGTCAGAGGAAGGCGGCAGACGTTCCAGAAGAGGTGACTCTGTGAACTCCCCTGGCTGGTGAGCCGTCTCTATTGGTCACCTTGTGGCTGGCCTCTGGGAGGTGATGGGCTGGTCTGAGGGTTCTGGGTCAGAATTGGGGTGGTATAATTGGGGTGAAGGGGGCCTGATCTGGGAATTACCTGCTTGGGCAGGAACATGGCCTGGGGGTGGGAGGAGAGTCAGGAAGACCAGCTCTGGGCCCGGAACTCTGGGAAGGCACTGTCTCAGAGGAAGGAGGGGTGACCACAGGGACAGGGCAAGGGGTCATCTGTTTGAACCACCCCATCCCAGAGGAGTGGGGGGCAGCAGGTCTAGACACTGGCAGGCTGTGGCCTTTGGAGTTTGCGATGGGGGGGGGGGGTCTGGGCTCTGCTCCTGTCCTGCTGGCCTTGGACAGAGTCCTCAGAGAAATCAAGTCACCTGCCTGCCTGGTGGGAAAGAGCCACAGAAGCCACTGTGGGGCACATGTCCTTCCGGAGCCCTCCAGGTGGGACAGCAGGGACTGGGGTTCCAGGCCTATGGGATGGCCCAGCGAGGGGCCCCCAGGGGGGTGCCACAGTCCTTATAAAGACCAGAGGTGTCAGGGACAGGTGCATAGGGAGGGCAGAGGGGCACCCTCCCTGGCTCTGCCCACCCCTCCCTTGGTCGCCTAGTAGTGCCTCACAGTTCAAGCCGGTTCCTTCCCCTGCTCAAGAGGCCCCGTGGCTCCTCGCCAGGCATTCAAGGTCCCCATGGTGACCTGGCCCCATTGGCCGGCCCACCCCACACCAATGACCTCCCACAGCTAGTGACTCGGGGGTTCTCAGGCAGGGGTCCGTGCGTGAATCCCCAAATCTCAGAAGAGTCACTTTAATGACACCAGGATGCCAACCTTTGCCTGGGTGCTCCCCCATCTGAGCCCCTGTCCACCCTTCCTGCCCACTCCTGGCACAGCTGACCCTCAGGTGGGCAGCTTGTCTGCTGGTGCCCACCCCCCTCCACAAGCCTCAGGCCTCTTGGGCGGGGAAGGGACCTCCTCTCGCCTCCAGCAACCAGAGATCCTCCACTGTGGGCTCAGGCTGTTCTGCCTTGTCCCTGCCAGGAGCCGGGCAGGCTCCCCAGGGTGGGGGCTCCAGGAGGGCAGCGGACAGGCCTCATTCCCATCAGCGTCCACCGCTGGTTCGGAGTCAGCCCTGACTCAAATGTCTCCTTTTCAGAGAGGCCCTGACCTCCTCAAATAAAGTCACCCTCCATGGTCTAATCACATTTCTGGAAAATTCCAACAATACATGGGGAAGCCCTCAACATCTTGCCTCCGTATCTGAGCATCCAGCCCAGCTCCCTCCAGCCTCTGGCTGTCTCCAGGGGGCTGCAGCAGAGGCACAAGTATCAGGCCTTGTCACCTTGTAATTGGGGAAACTGAGGCACGGGGTTCCCCCCAAGGGCATGGAGTAGGGAGTGGCGAGTTGGAACCTGGGCTTGTGTCTCCAGGACTTGCACCCCACCCCACCTGAGCCCAGTTTCTCCAGCTGTAGCCAAAAATGCCTGGATTCCTACATCACTTCAAAAACGTGCCTCTGGTACCTGCTATGTGCCAGGTGAGGACCTGCACCCTCGGTCTCGGTGGGGAACTGAGGAGACAGGATTCCTGTCTTCCAGGAACTGATGTTCCGGATGGGGTGGGGAGGGAGACGCATAGGACATATTTTGTTAGTTAATTTGTTTCATCACGTCAGGCCGCGACCCCAGGTGTGGAGAGAATAAGGTGAGGAGGGGAGGGTGAGTCAGGCAACTTCCTGGAGAAGCTGATGTTTGAGAAGAAGGTGAGGGAGGAAGCCAGGGGCCAGAGCATTTTAGCCAGAGAAGACCTGAGCCAGTGCAAAGGACCTGAGGCAGGGCCTCCAGAGACATGGCTGGTGCGGCTGCAGTGGAGGGCAGAGAGGCAGGAATGAGGGACAGAAGCCCTGCCCCTCCCCCAGGAAAGGGGTGGTCCTGCCTTCCTTCAGGGTTCAAGGACTTCAGGGTGGATGGCCCCACTTTGGCACATAGAGGCCAAAATGAGAAAGCAAAAACATCCCTCAGGACCCACAGGTCTCCATGGACTCCTCTGTGGTCTCCCCTCACTCACTCGTGCCAGCCACATGGGCCTCCCCGTTGTGCCTCCAGCACACGGAGCCTGTCCTGGCCTCAGGGCCTTTGTACCTGCTGGTCTCTGCCTGGAATGCTCTCCTTCCAGAGGGCCACCTGGCTAGCTCCTCCTCCGTCTTCAGGTCTCATCCCTGTTGCTGTCCCCTTCTCTCTGTAAGAACAGCGGCTCCAGGAGCTTCCTGTCCTTCACTGCCAGCGCCCCCGCCATGCGTCCCAATGCAGAAGCTGCGTTAGAGTGAGCTGGACGAACAAATGACCCACCACGGACAGGGACGGGAGGAGGCAGCCGGCCACAGGGCGGAGGGGGAGCCTACCACGGGACCCCTCTCTAGACACAGCCATGGAGCCCTGGGCCAAAATGTGGCTTCAGGAGGCAGGAGGGGTGGGAGAGAAGAGAGTGGGCTCTGGCCGGTCCAGCGTGCGGGACAGCATCCTATTAACCAAGATGGAGTCCGGCCTGGGGAGGACAGAGGCCTCCTCTACCCACTCTGGTTAGTGAGGCTGGATCTGAGGCACCTGTTCAAGGGCCTGAAGAAAAGCCCAAGCTGGGGGACCGGGAGGGGGGAAAGTGGGGAGGAAGGGAGCTGCATGCAGAAGAATGTCTCCCGGGCCAGTTCCTGTCCTGCTTCTCCAAACCGCCCTGCACCACGCCTCTGCCAGCTGGGCATCTAGCGGCACCCCAAGTTGCAGATGCTGGAAAGAGACTGATTCCACTTAAACCTGCTCCCCCATCAATGGCTGCCTTCCCCGCCTCCCCTCCTCCCCTCGCCACACCCCACTGGGCTCAGCAGGGCCAGCTCGGGAGCCTCTGTCCTGCTCTTCTAACTCCTGTCCTCGTCCCTGCCCCACAGTTTCTTCCCTGGCCTCAGAATAACGTCCCAATGCCTTTCAAGGCCAGCAGGCTGGCTTTGCCCACGGCCTCTCTCCGCTGGACCTCCCAGCCCTGGCCTTGCAGACTTTCTCTGTGGCCTGGCCAGGAGCTCCTCCCAGTGCCCCCACCATGCTCGGGGCTCCACACCTGCTCTGCCTCCCTGCTCTTCCTCCCCTTCATCCAGATGCCTCCCCTGATCGGCTCCTGACACAGCCAGGTGACTTCCTGGGCTCCCTCCCTGAGGGCGTCAGCTCTGCCATGTTTCCATATTTTAACAGCCTCTGCCTGCCAGGTAGTTATCACTGCTGGCATCGTGCTGAGTGCTTAACCTGTGAGGTGATGGAGGCGGTCAGGCCCACTTCACAGGTGGAGAAACGGAGCACGAGGAGGTGAAGTCACTGGCCTGAGGGCTCCTCAACTCCAACTGGCAGGACAAGGTAGGCGGCAGGCTCGAGCCCAGACGCCGGAAAGGGGGCAGACTGAGGTGCCCAGAGAAGAGGGGGTGCGCCCCATGGCGCCCGCCTTCCTGTGTCATCCCACCATGGGAGGAGGGGACCTTAGCCCATTCCTGCTGCCATCTACGGTCAGCCCACGGCTTCCGAGCCAACTGCTCACTCTGTGCCAGGCACTGGGCCAACCAAACACTTTATCCAACCTACAAATGGTCCTGGGTCTGGAGGTGAGCAGGAAATGGGGGCCGATGGGAACTTGAACTCCCACCTGGCCCGGGCGCTCTCCCTCATCCCCTTAGGGATGTGGATGCCACGGAGATTTACCAAGCCCTTTCCTAGCCAGGCTCCTTTGACACCCGATAACACTCCCAGGGACAGGTACTATTCACCCATTTTAGGGGGGGGGACTGAAGCTTTGAAGTCTTTCCTGGGACCACGAGGCCAGTTCAATGACTGGCTTCTAGTTGATCTCCACTGCCTCACTCTCTCCTCCCTCAAGACACCTCAGCCAGGACTCGGGGGGCCCGGGAAGGTAGGCAGCGAGGATCCCCAGTGTCTCCTGAGACCTGGCTGGGTCTGCTGGGGCCCAGGTGAGTAAGTAAGGCCTCTAGGACCCCCACCCAGTCCCTTATTCACAGAATCTGCTCCTGGAAAGAGATCAGCTGCAAAGCCCGACAGCTTCTAAGACAACTCCGCAGCCCAGGATTCTTATCTCGGGGGGTCCCATCAATAGGTTATGGTTGCTCCAGAGGGGGCCACCCTGGCCTCTGATACCCAGATGCCTGAGACCTTGCCTGGGCTCAGACTGGGGTCTTGGGGAGCCTCCCCCATCTCAGATTTTGCAAGGCGGGCTGGGCCACAACTGCCTCCCCCCAGCCATGTATGTGTGCCCCCAGCAAGTCTCCCCATGCCCGAAAAGGCCCCTCCCTCCACGCTTCCATCTCGAGGTCAGAAGTCTCCATGCACTTTCCTCACACTCTGCTTCGGAGCAGACAAGAATCTAGATGATGCCCTTCTGCCAAAATGAAGATGGAGCTGGCTCACTTCCTATCAACCCTCGGGCAGGGTCCAAGCTTCCTCCCAAGCCTCTTCCCAACCCTTCTGCAGGCAGAGCAGCCACAGGATCTTTTTCTCTTTTTCAGGATTGAGACACAATCCGATGGTGTTAGCCAGCTGGCCCAATTCTCTCTGGTACCCACAACACCGAGAATGGACCCGGGGCTCCTCCACCTTCCAACCCTGGCCAGCCTCGCCGCACCTTTCATTTTCCCTCTCCACACTTGGGCCACGCTGGCCTCTTTTGGGCTGTGCAGAAGCACCCAGCTGGGCGCTGCCCGGGGGATCTTGCTGTTTGCTGGGCCCAGAAAGCCCTCGCTGCCGGTCCCATCAGGTCGGTTGGCACCTTCCCTGAGAACCTCCTTTGCCGTCCCTCCTGGCACCTCCACCCTTCCCCTAGTTCCCTGAAGGGTCGTCTTCCCAGCACCGTGGAATGATGAGATTTTCTATTTACACGGTTCTTAGAAACCGTCTACGCAGCAGCTGGGTTGTGGACTCCGTAGGCCTGGGGCCCTGCTGCGTCCCCAGCCCTGGTACGTCGGTGACACCAGTGGGCGCCCGCCCCGATTTGCCCGTGACGGGCGGACACTCCCGTGGCGCTCCGCCCGTTCACACATCCGGATTCCCCGCGTCACGGGGCCAGGCTCGCCCCCACTCGCTCCCGCCCGTTTCGCAGCCTCGTCCTTGGGCTCCCGAGCCGCCCGGGCCCTCGGGGGACCAGGGCTCTCTCGGGAAGGTGGCCCGGACCGCAGGCCAGATGGGAAGCCCCGAGAGGCAGCCCGGGAGGAGTGCTGGGGGACGCGGGGGCTGCGTTTGGGGGCCAGGGAGGTCAAGGCCGCGTAGGCGGGGCCGGAGCCCGTCGCGAGGGTGGCGTTCGGGGCGGTGTTCGCGGCGCGGGGCGCTCTTACCTGGGGGCGCAGGCGGCCGGGCGCACCGAGGGCCGCGGCGGGGCGGGGGACGGCGCGCCTGGCGGCTGACCCGGAGAGGAAGCAGACGCACCGCCCGCGCCAGGCAACCGGACTCTACTCCCGGCCGGGCAGCGGCCCAGAGCCGCGGGAAAGAAAGCTGGAGGGGGGCGCGGGGCGGGGCCGGGGCGGGGCCTGGAGGGCGCAGCCGGAGGGGGCGGAGCGCGAGGGCCTCTCGGAGCTCGCCCCCACCCCGCGCAAGCAGCCCTCTCCCCGGGCCCCGCCCCTATCCGCCTGGCACCGCCCCAGCCCCACCCCAGCCCCGCCCCCAGCCCCGCCCCGCGGCGCGCCAGGCGCTGGTCCAGCCACGCGTCTGATGTCTGCGCAACCCGCAGCATCTTCTGTGGGCGCCTTTTGGCCCCTGCTTCACCCTGCCCACACGCGGCATGTGCTCGCGGCCCTTTCTAGGTCCCCTCTTCTGACCAGTGTGCTCTGGCCCGCGCATCTGCGCACACCCCGCGGCCGCCCCAACCCTGAGGGTGCACTGCTAGCTTTGGAGGAGAGGCCTATACCCCTCCACAGGCCTCAGTGGCCATCTCCCGCCCCAGGTCTGGGGACCTCGTGAAGTGAGGCACGCGCAGGTTCAATCGCAGGTTGGGGAGGTGTAGAGGGCATCCTGAGCAAGGCTGCGGTTTGGTGGAGTGCAAGGGTCAGGCAGCCGAGCAGGGGAGATAAAGTCTGGAGATAGGCAAGTGTGGGTGGTGGTTGCAGCCTTGACTTGAACGAGGGCAACAGGGAAGGAGGCTGGGCCTCCCCTTGCCTGGTGAAACCAAATAGAGGACAATCCCAGGCCCCGCTGTTGCCAGTTGAAGGGAAGAGGTTTCCAACGGGGTGTCTGTCACCTTCCGACCTTCAGACCCCAGGCCCGATACAGGAAGTTGAGATCTTAGATCTTCCTGACCTTGGCACCGTAGGCAGGTTGCTTAAATTCACTGAGATTTTATTTCCTTGCCTAGGAAGGGGGAGGGGCTGGAGACCTCTGCTAGCAAGTGCAGCAGAACCTGTCGCCCCAGTCTAGCTTCTAGCAATTACATCTTGATCCCTCTGCTAGCCCCTAGTGAAAATGTGCATCCCTCTCCCCCAGGTCTCAGACCCTCCTCAAAGTATCACCTCCCCTGCTCCCACACACTACATTCACCTTTATTCTCCCCCCATCCTTCCAAAAGTCCTTTTGCACATCCAGAAAAAAGAAAGCCGTAGCGTGACTTTTCTCAGGTACTTGGAACATGGCAGCCGTGATACTGCTAGTAATAACAGGAGACATATTGTGAAACCAGGTAGTGCAAGCCTCAGGGAAGAAGCCCCAGGTCCACAGAGTAGTGGGGGATTTGAGTGGAGAGATTTTGGGGGTGAAAGATACTGTGTGGGGCAAAGGCAGGGCGGCTGGAGCAAGGATTCAGAGATGAGTCTGACACAGAGAGTGACCACTTACAGAAAAGAAGTCCCCTAAAGACAAAGGAATGGACATCTTCCAGGGGAAATAAGAGCCAAACCTGCTCTCAGTCTGGTGGGTGAGCAGCCAAACTAGAAGATGAAGCATCAGAAGGTGCTCAATCTTCAAGGCTGCGGGAGTGAGATAGCAGTGGGGAGAAGGGAGGCAGGGAGAGTCCCTCATCCTCCCGCGACCATGTGGTGGGCAGAAGTGCCTGCTCTAAAAATATAACACAGAGACTTTCCCAGATAAGAAGGGTGCTCCAGGTGGTGAGGCAAGAGGCGTCACATGTGCAGAAGAGTCACCCATAACCCACAGTCACCTTCACCTGATGAGCACAACCTTTGGTGGAGACTGAAGGTGGCGTGAAGAAGCGTGAGTGACAGAAGTCCCACCTCTGCACAGCACAGCATCAAGAGACAGAGGTCCTGCCTTCCCCCCAGATACCGTGAAAGCCACACCCCTGTGTTCTTTGCCGGGGCTTCTGTCCCCCCAGTCCTGTCCCTTCTGGCTTGAGCAGAAGTCTTTAACACAGCCTCACCTGTGTTTGATAATTTCCAGGTCCACTGTTCGTTTCTACAACTCTGGACCCAAGAGTCCAGAGCTACCAAGGTCAGTGAGAAGCCTGGCAGGAGAGAGCAGGCCGGACCTCCCGCAGTGGGGCAGCTTCTCCTCTGCATCCCCAGGCCTGACCCCAAGCCTGAGAGTGCGCGTGCATTCGGTTCAGAGACGGTTTCCTGGAGGAGGTGACTTCTCAGACCCGAGGGATTAGTGGATGGAGTGGATGACGGTCTGTCCCAAGGGCCCCCCAGGACCCTGGGGAGAGGCACTGTGGGATTCAGAATTGGGTTGCATGGGATACTGGGGAGGGAGTTACCCCTGAGGGCCTGGTCCAGGGTTGGCAGACAGGAGGGAAGAGACTCCAGAGGATTTAGAAGTCAAGTTGCCAGGAATTGGGGGCTGGTGGGAGGCAAGGGTGTGGCTGGAGTGGGCAGATGGAGCTTTGGAGCCCATGAGTCCAGTGTCAGTGAGGGCCAAGGGAAGGCCAGGGCTCCCCCCCACCCCCGCTCCCCTCCCCCGCCTTTCATACCCTTTGTGATCTGGTGATCAAGTGTGGGACTGAGATAAGATGAAGGAAACTGTAAGCCGCAGGACAGCTGAGGGTGTGTGTGTCCTCACTTCTCCCAGCCTGCTGTGAGCTGGCCCTAGGCACAGGGCCTTTTCCAGACCAGAGACCAACACAGCCAGGCCCGAAGGCCGGACCCTTGACAATGGACCTGTGTGAGGTGGCATGAGGAGCCCTCTGCTGTGTCCACACACCCTAGCCTCTGACAGACAGGGCAGGAGAGACTGTAAGGACCCTGAGATGGGGGATCTTCCTGGATATCCAAGGCCCAGTGTCGTTCCCCGTCACCCACAGCTTGGGGCCCTGGCCCCTCTGCCATCCCCAGGACTACTGTCTGTTCTAGTGGGTGTGGAGAGCAAAGTCCAGAATATCCATGTCTCCCTTTCTCTGCTGGCCCTGCCAAGTCCACCCCTGGGCCTCACCCTCCAGCCCCGAGCCTGGCCTCCTTTAGTCCCTCATACTGGTCAGGGTTCTGCCCTCCCAGCTTTGGCTGATCTGTCCTCTCTGGCACAACCTTTGCCAAGCAAGAGTCCTGCTCTCCATGTTGGGGGACTCTCTGCCCCAAAGACAGGAGCCTTCAATTAAGACAGAGTTGGGGCTGTGTGACTTTTAGTGTTGACACAGCCTCTCTGAGCCCAGTGTCCTCATCTGGGGGACGGAAGAGGATCATAATGGGTGGAGTGGGCCGGGGGAAGCAAGTACCTGGAGTGGAGAGAAAACTGTCCTCAGATGGCCCTGACCAAATGGCCTGGAAGGGGAGCCGGGAGGGGACAGGAAAGGGAGGGTGAGGGTAGAAAGGCCTCTGCATTGGCTGCTCCTGGCTGATCTTCGTGCATATCCACATGGGTCCTTCCCTCAGTCACTCTGGGCCATCAGTGGGAGGCCCCTTGTCCTGCTCCCCTCCCTATAGTCTGCTCCCCCTCCACAGTGCCCCTCACTCCCTGTCCGTCACGGGTGCCCCTTCCAGTGGTCCAGCTCCCAGGGCAGGTAAGCAGAGAAGAGAGGGTGACAGGGTGACGGGTGACGGGGTGATGGGGGAGCTGCTGGGTCCGGGGACAGGCTGGGACTGCGGGAGGTGTCATCTGTGTGTCTACGTGTTCCTCTCTGTGTTCCTCCGTGTGACCGTCTGAGTGTGTCTGGGTGCGTGTCTGTCTCTGGGGATCTGTGTGTGTGTGTGTGTGTGTCTTTGTGCATTTTTGGGTGTGAGTTGTGCTTCTGGGCTGGTGCGTCCTGACTCTGTGTGTCTGGTCACACGTGCGCATCGCGGTTTCTTATGTGTGTGTGCCTGACCCTCTCTGTGTCTCTGTGTGCCTGGGTGTGGTGTGTCTCCATGTGTCTGGGGACCTCTGAGCAGGGACACGCTCGGCCTGGCCCTCCTCCTGACTCCTGGAGGCCTGGTGTGGCCCCTGCCCTCCTTTCCTGCTTCTCACCTCTTCCCAAGCACCCTCTGGGCTCTGCCTCTCCTTCCTTACCTTCCCAGAGTAGAGGCTTGGCACAGAGCCTCCCTCCACCTCCTCCTGGTCTTTGCTCAAGTCCCTCAGGGCAGCTGGCACCCAGCACGTGCAGGGAAGGAGAACCAGTTCACAACGGTGATGCCTCCTGCCAGCCCGGGCCCCGTGCCCGACTGTGGTTCCCAAAGGCTGGATGAGGTAAGGGCCCCAGAAACCCAGATGCGGAAGGGATGGGGGGGGAATCATGACCTGGAGCAGCAGGTGACTTAAAATTCCCATTTTACAGATAAGCTCAGAATGGTTCAGTAAGCTGCCCAAGACTACACAGCCAAAGGTTGGGGGAAATAGATTTCTTTGGCTCCAGCTCCGCCCACGGGCCTCCCTATTCTGCAAATAAGAAAACTAGGAGGACTCGGGTGTGTCCTGGGATATGGGATTTCTAGGGCTAGTGCCAGGACAGTCCTGAGCAAACTGGGATGATTGGCCACCCTACCAAGAGGTGAAGAGATTTGCTCAAGGACACACAGTAAGGACAAGAGTTCCTAGGCCAACACCTGCTTGTCCAAGATGTCACCCCCTTTTCCTAACCAGACTGGGAGAGGGCGGGACCTAAAGGGAGCTATGGAGGCATTGCTCTGAAGGGGAGTGGGACCCGGCTGGGCTGGGCAGTGCGTGACTGCGGTCCCAGCCGCTCAGGCACCGAGTCCGGAGGACCGCGTGAGCGTAGGAGTCAAGCCAACGGCAGAGAGAGAGCTGCGTCGAAAATAAAATATATAAACAGGAGATGGCAGTCTCCAGTCTGCATTCAAATGTTCCTCTTCTGGACGAGTCAACACATTAGATTCAAAAGCTGCAAAAACATTGACTAGGGGAACATTTTCTCCTACTGGGTCTCCCAGGTCCTGTAGGCTCAATGTCTTGGTTCTCCTTCCTGAGAGAGCCTTTGTGTGTAAATATGTACCTTTTTAAAAAATATATTTATTTTTTAGTTCTCGGTGGACACAACATCTTTGTTGGTATGTGGTGCTGAGGATCGAACCCGGGCCGCACGCAGGCCAGGCGAGCGCGCTACCGCTGAGCCACATCCCAGCCCCTCTACCTTTTTTTTTTTAACAAAAAATTTCATTTTTTGGGCTGGGGATGTGGCTCAAGCGGTAGCGCGCTCGCCTGGCATGCGTGCGGCCCGGGTTCGATCCTCAGCACCACATACAAACAAAGATGTTGTGTCCGCCGAGAACTAATAAATAAATATTAAAAAAAAAAAAAAAAATTCATTTTGCATATTCTTCTGCACCTTATTTTTTATTTATACCAAGTTTTCATTTTTTAAATATATATGTTCTTAGTGTAGTTGGACACAATACCTTTATTCTGTTTACTTATTTTTTTGTGGAGCCCAGGGCCTCGCACGTGCTAGGTGAGAACTCTACCGCTGAGCCACCACCCAGCCCACCAAGGTTACATGTTTAAGTGTCAGTTGGGTGATACAAAGTGTGTTCATGGGGCTGCTGGGGTGGAGCTCCGGGGTCGAGCTCTTGCTCAGCATGTACGAGGCCCTGGGCTCCGTCCCCAGCCCTGGAAAAAAAAGAAAGCCAACATTCATGCTGCATCAGCACCGTCACTATTGACTTCTGGAATAGTTTTCATTGCAAACAGAAACCTTTCAATGCTAAATCCCCAGCCGCTCCCAGCCCCTGGCACCTACCATTCTACCTTCTGTCTCTGGGGATCCTACTACACAGGGGACCTCTTGGAAGTGGAATCACATGGCATTTGACCTTCTGCATCTGGCTCCTTTCACGGAGCGTCATGTCCTTAGGGTCTATCCATGTTGCAATGTGTTGGAATGTCAGCCCTGATCACGCAAGAACCATACCCACTGTAGGACGGCCTACAGTGTGGTGTGGAGACATTCATCCATCTGTGCACATGGGCTTGTTTCCACCTTTGGCTGCTGTGAATCGTGCACCTGGGAATGTGGTGTTCAAATATCTCTTCCAGGCCCTTCAATCCTTTTGGGTGTGTACCTGGGAGAGAAATTGCTGAATCACATGGTAATTCTATTTTAACTTTTTGAGAAACATGAAACTTGGCTTTGTTTATTTATTTTTGTGGTGCTGGGGATGGAACCCAGGGGCACTCTATCACTGAGCTACACCCCTAGCCCTTTTTATTTATTTATTTTTTTATTTCTGAGATAGGGTCTCGCTAAATTGTCCAGGCTGGCCTTGAGCCTCAGCCTTTGGAGTCCCTGGGATTACAGTCTTGGCCACTGCACCCCGTGCCTGACAAGAAGCTCGCTTTTAAACTTAATATTCCTAGGAGTTCTTAAAGAAGTCTCTCTCTCTCTCTGTCTCTGTCTCTCTCTCTGTCTCTCTCTCTCTCTTTTGCTTGTGAAATGGGAAGTGAATACATATACATACATATATATGTACCGATATATATATATATATATATATATATATATCATATACATGTTGGTAACGGCTTTAAAGATGTAATTCACATACCATTCAGTTCACCTATTTCAAATATCGAGTCAATCAATGGTTATTTAACTATTCATAAAGTTGAGTAGTTCTCACCACCTTGTGTGGTACCACGTACGAGGGGATCTCTGAGTAACCAGTCCCCTGTTGTTGGACAAAGTGGTTGCTTCTGATCCAAGCAACGGTGAGTGAAAAATCTGATACAGAAGTGGTGTCAAACCCATGGGGAGATTTGAATAAATTCCTACAAGTGAAATGACTAGTCTCAGGGTGTGAACTTTGATAAGGATTTGTAGCTTTGATAATGATTGCCAAAGGCATCCTTATCAGAGGTCTCACCTTCTGTGCTATCACCTTTATCAGACTGCTAATCTTTGCTAATTTGAAAGTTTCAAAAGAAGCTTGTTCTACTTTGCATTTGTATCATTCTTAGTGAGGCTGAGATTATCTTTTCCTGGAAACTGTTTTTGTTTTTTTTTTTTTAATTGTCAGGTGTTTTCTTCTTTATATATAGAGATTCTTTGTGGCAAAATACATGTAGACATTTTTTTTTCCCCTTTTTATGGTGCTGGGGATGGAAACTCAGGGCCTTGCAAATGCTCTACCACTAAGCTTCACCACTAGCCCCAGAAGTTCTTTTTTTTTTTAATTCTATTTTTTAAAGTTTTAAAAAATTTATTCTAATTAGTTATACATGCAGTAGAGTGCCCTTCTCATTCGTCTGGTTGTACCAGATGTAGAGTTACACAGGTCATGCAATCATATACGCACATGAGTAATAATGTCTGATTCATTCTACTATTATTCTTACCCCATACCCCCTCCCCTCCCTTTATTCCCCTCCAAATACCTCTACTCCCACACACACCTTATTGTGAATTAACATCCACATTTCGCCTTTGATTTTTGGGGATTGGCTTATTTTGCTTAGCATAATATTCTCCAGTTTCATCTATGTCCTGGCAAATGCCATAATTTCATTCTTCTTTAAGGCTGAGTAATATTCCATTTGCTTTATCCACTCATCTGTTGAAGGGCACCTAGGTTGGTTCCATAGTTTAGCTACTGTGAATTGAACTGTTATAAACATTGATGTGGCTGCCTCACTGTAGTATGTTGATTTTTAAGTCCTTTGGGTATAAACCTAGGAGCGGGATGACTGGGTCAAATGGTAGTTCCATTCCAGGTTTTCTGAAGACTCTTCCTACGGATTCCCATAGCGGTTGCAGCCCGAGCAGTACTGTATGAGCGTACCTTTTCCCTAATCCTCGCCAACATTTATTGTTGCTTGCATTCTTGACCATTGCCATTCTGACTAGAGTGAGATGGAATCTCAGTGTCTTGCTAAGTTGCTGAGGCTGGACAAAGACGGGACCCAGTTTTTGTTTTCTCAGTTGTCCCCAAAACACTCATTGCAACACCCATTTTTTTTATGAGCAATTTTGAAAGATCGCCAGGCTTGTGGGGCCTGCAAGGAGGGCAGTTTTGAGGTGTGACGGGAATCTGAAGCTGTCCTGCCTGAAAACTGTTTGCCGCTCCATTGAAAACTTGGGAAATCAACCTGCTCCCAGCCTCCAGCTCTGGCACCAGCTGAGCCATACCCACCGGGAGGAGACCGGGTTTGGGGGAGGGATCGGTAGCTCCTGGTTGTGGAATGTCATAATGTTCCCTGAAACACTAGTAACAGCAGGCCCAACTGTGCCATCACAACCTGAATGACGAATCTGACACTTGGAAGGAGTTCAGGTGGTGGGAGGAGGTGGCGGCATCAGGGCCGAAAATACAGGTGAGTCACTGCTGGAGGAGGACCTGGTGGGCAGTCCAGGCACCATTAAATGCAGAGACGGTGTCATTGTCATCAGCAAACGGAGGAGGGGCTGCTCCAGGGCGGGATGATGATGTCTAAGGCAAGTGCCTTAGACAGCGGAAGTCCAGATCCAAGGTGTCCGCCAGGCCCCACGTCCTCTGAAGACTCTCAGGAAGGACCCTCCTGCTCATGTTGGCAGCTTGGTCCTCAGTGTCAGAGGCGGTGGGACCATTAAGAGGTGGCTCCTTGTGGAGGTCACAGGGGTTAAGGTGGTTCCTGGGGCCTGGCTCAGTTCTCTCCAGAGCCCCTCCCTGCACTCTGGCTTCCTGTCTTGCCATGTGACACCCTCCCCCGCCCCAACACACACACACACACACACACACACAGCCTTCTGCCGCAAGGGGGTGCAGCCAGGGGGACATTGCCATGCGGTTGGAGTTTCAGACTCCAGAACTGTGAGCCAAATAAACCCGTGTTTTGTTTTGGTTTTTCTGTCCTGGGGACTCAAACACCACCCAGGCTGCTCTACCACTGGGCAGCATCCCCAGCTCCTTTTTATTTTATTTTGAGACAGGGTCTGACTAAGTTGTCTGGTCTGGCCTCAAACTTACCATCCCCTGCCTCAGCCTCCGAAGTCACTGGGTTGACAAGCTGCACCAGGAGCCTGGCTGAACCTTTTACTGTGACACATGAGTTAGGGGCTCCGGAGCAGCCGCAGCTCAGTGGGTACAAATTGGGTGAAAGTCATTATTATTATTATTATTATTATTATTATTATTATTATTATTATTTGTAGTTGTAGATGAAGAGCATGCCTTTATTTTGTTCGTTTATTTTTTTGGGGGGGGGTACCGGGAATTGAACTCAGGGGCATTCGACTACTGAGCCACATCCCCAGCCTCATTTTGTAATTTATTTAGAGACAGGGTCTCAGTGAGTTGCTTAGTGCCTCGCTTTTGCTGAGGCTGGCTTTGAACTCGCGACTCTGCTGCCTCAGCCTCGTGAGCTGCTGGGATCACAGGTGCGCACCACCCGCCCAGCTTGTTTTTTGTTGTTGTTGTTTTTTATGTGGTGCTAAGGCTCGAACCCAGTGCCTTGTGCATGCTAGGCAAGCGCTCTGCCACTGAGGTACAGCCCCAGCCCCAGGAAAGTCATTTTTGGTTTGCAGAGAGGGTATGTGTGTGCCCCATTTCCCAGATGGGAAAATGTAAACTTGGGAGGTCCCATAAGCAGCTGGTTCCACCTGTCCCCAGGCCAGGCCCTGTTGGCTGGAAGGAGCTCCAGGCCCCAGATGAGGAACCTGTGGCCAGAGGAAAAGCCCCAGATGCACCCAAGAGGAGCTCCCTGAGTTCTGGAGCAGGAGGAGATAAGTGACCTGGGGACGAGGGGTTTCCTAGGCACAAGAGGGACTGGCCTCCATTCTTTGTAAGTTCCCCAGCCTCAGGCATTTCATTATAATAGCAGGAAATGATTGAAATCAGGGCATCCTTGATGTGTGGATCCATTCCTGGATTTCCCCCACCTTCACATGACATCTTCCCTCGCTGCTGTCTGTTTCTGAATGTCCATATTTCTGTTATAAAGACCAGTCAGGTGGGGTGTGGTGGCCCGGGCCTGGAATCCTAGCTCCTGGGGTGAGGGGTCTAGAGGTGTGCAAGTTCACAGCCAATGGCAGTAACTCACTGGGACACCCACTGTTGGATTTAGCC